ATGCTTTCTTTTCTAAACTTTCCCAGTTCTAAAATGCAGATCTCATCTTATCTGTGGCTGCTCCTTCCCCTCCCCCTCCCGTCCCCCCCCCCCCTCCAAATACAGGCTCCATTTCATGGTTTTCCACACAGAGGACTTCCATGATGTTTTGAGAATCTGGGATGGGCCAGTGGAGAAGGGCATTCTCCTGAAAGAAGTCAGTGGTTCGGTCTTGCCCAGCGATGTTCACAGCACCTTCAACTTGGTGGTCCTTCAGTTCAACACGGACTTTTTCACCAGTAAACAGGGTTTTGCCATTCAGTTTTCAGGTAAGTCCCACAGGTGTCATCTGGTCTTTTGAGTCCAGAGAAGAACTAGAGCAGGATGACAATGTCATAGATGCTTTCAGCTCCCCATAACCCTGCATGGTAAGCTGGATAAGAGATAGTCCTGGAAATTTATTCTGATTCAGTAATTTCAGCATTCAGTAACATAGCAATTCTCCAGCAATTTTTCTCTCAATTCTCATGCAATTTGATGAAGGAGAATTTGCACGAGAAGAGATTTAAAAGGAAAAGAGAATTTTAAAGAAAGTCTCTTGGATGGAGTATAGCATGGTTGCACTTTTTATTGATGAAAGGGGTAGGTGAGAATGGCTTGGTTTTTCACGCTGCTGTCCTCTCTTCAGTGGTCTTCAGCCTGCCTGTTTCCCACACTTACATCTCAAGGAGATTTAAATTGAGTTTTTCAGAGTAGTATTAGGATCACTCCTAAGGTAGAGTCCTTGAGAAATCAATGGAGAGTTTCTTCTCCTTCTGGAGAAATTCAGAGAAACCATCCAGCCAATTTCTCCACCCAAAGATTTAGTGGAGGATTGCAAAGGGACATTGATAACCAGCTGTTTTCTATATGTACTTGATCCAAAATGGCAACATAATGGTGGAACAGAATACAGCTGGAGTTACTGTCTTCAAATGCATGTCCTGCTTGTTGTAATATTTGTACCAAGGCAGTATTTAAATAATATTAATATTTAATTTGATTTAATATCTTACACTAACATATTTTAATGTTAAATATTAAAAGAACAACTGGCATTTGGAAAGGGCAAAGAGATAAGCCTTTATGCACTTTTTTTAAACCAAGAGATTAAGAGAGCAATCTAAGCTGTAAGAACAGGACATTCCATACCTTGAGTTATCCAAGACAAAACCTTTCCTTTCAATGAACTAAACACCTGCAGCAGAGGGGTCTTCAAAAGGATCACTTCTACCTATTTTAATAACTCAGCAGGTTTCCAATAAGATACACCACTTAAAGCCTTAAAGGTTAAGACCAGTACGTTGAGCTGAACTCAGCAAACAAGCATCCTCTCTGCCACATTTACACTAACTGAAGGTTTCAAAACTTCCTCATGGATAGACCTACATATAATGAACTAAACTAATCTATACAGAGTCTAACCAAGGTAGGGATAACTATTGCCAGAACAAACTGACCCAGAAAGATTTATAGCCACAGAACTAGTGGAGTTAAGCAAATGCATAACTTGTTACTGTCATTACCTGAAGATCCTGGGGAAGCACAGAGTCAAGAAATACACTTCAAGTGCAAAGCTGATTTTTCAGTGGGAGCAAAAGCTCTTTCAGAACAGGTTGCATTCCACGCCTCAGGCCAGGTTGTTGACTAACCATCAGATTTTAAACTGTCTCAAAACTGTTCACCTTCCTCCTGCCCGTTATCTGTCTTAGGCAACATACAAGCGAATCAGCTTCTTCCTAAAAATTAGATGAGAAATAGCAATAAAGCTGAGGGTTACTGAGGTCATTGGATGGATGGATGGATGGATGGATGGATGGATGGATGGATAACAATACTATGGAAGAAATATATGAGCAATGACTATAGTAACAAACCATACCATTTGCAAGGAATGAGGCTGAGTTTCTGGGCTGGGGTCAGAGTCTACAGATGAAAAGTCAATGAAATTTGTTCTGACTTTACCTCTTGTGCTGGAGTACAGGCCTCCAGAGTCAAACCCGCCTACTGTTCAACCTGCCCTTCCATTTCTTCCTGAAATGTGGATTCATTTGCCAGGGACTAGACAATATCATCTTGGCTGATTTATTCATTCATGAAGCCAACGTTCATTTCTTTGGTGAACTTGTCTTCATCTGTGAATTGTGTATGCTGAAAAATCCAGCAAACAAGCTGCAAGAATGATTTGATTGATCTCAGCTGCATCTGTGTCCGAGCCCAGATCGAGATAGATCCAAGTACCTTTACCAGCAAATGAAGAACAAAATTATTGAGAACAGGCCTCTGAGTGACCCACTTTCACTGTCCACATCTTGGCAAAGGCTTGGCAAGTCCTAGAAAGCCTTGTGTGCAGACACTGGTTGCCAGGAAGGAAGTTTCTTGTCCTTACCATCATTATCTTAAGTTGAACTAGTCCAATTTGACTCTATATTTTGCTTCCACGGCTGTTGTAGCCATCACCCCCTCTAGTTTTATTGCCTTTTTCTAAAAAAGCAAACAAACAAAAAATCTCAACCTTCTCTATTTGAAAACTACTGATTATTTTAAACCCCTGAGCTTTAAAAAGAAGGAAAAAAACATCAGGGTTCATTTCAGACAGCATTCATAACTCCCTGATACATCTGTAAAAAGATCAAACCTACAATTCCTGCTAAATTCCTCTCAGTCACAACAGGAGGAAAATGTGCACATTATAATTTATTTGACAGCATAGACCAGTGTTTCTCAACCTTAGCAACTTTTAGATATTTGGTCTTCCACCTTCCCCACTACCCCAACCCCCCCCGGGGCGCCCGGGGACTTTGTAAGTTTAGATGCACACATTCCTAAAGTTGGCAGGGTTTGAAAAAACTTGTTCTATTGTGTCAAAAAATTTAAATT